TCTGCGTGCTGTTTGTGGGGGAGGGGGGTGTTTGTGAATGGGGGGAGGGGGTCTTGGGGAGTGGCCCCCTTTTTTGTCTAAATCATCAGTCATCAATAATCAAAGTAGCCGACTTTTTTTTTTCCCTCACCGATGCTTCCAGACTCAACATTAACACGAAAGTGAAATGTTCCAAAAAACAAAGGAAGAAATATTTCTTGGTAGCTTTTGGAATGCCGTAGAATATGAATGTACGCAGATGTGCCCTTCAAAGAATGCTTGTGGTTGGCCTGTCTCGATAAACAAAGTGCTTTCCGCGATGCGAGCGCGTTGAGCTGAGAGACGGGAACTGCTCTTTGAGAGAGTATGCCCCCCCCCCGACCCTCGTGGCCCTGTGGGCAGTGACTGTGCTGTCATCGAAGCCGGAACAGGCCAGCTTCAGGGCGATTCTGTTTTTGCAGGTGGTGAGCTCAGTGTTTTTGTGTGTCATTGCTCTGCACCCGAATCACCCGTTACTCATGCTTACAGACACGCGGTTACTCAGAAGAATCTGCTTTGCTCTGCTCGTACGAAGGCGGCGCAGCAAGCGGATCGTATGTCCAGGCACCGGACACTGAAGAAAGACTCTCTGCTCCTGCCGCATATCGGGTCGTTTGGATTCACAATAACGTACAGAAAACATCCGAGAGAGAATAATCTAGAAGCGGTTTTCTTTAAGCAGTTGGTAGAGTCGTGTTGGTGGGTATTCATTCCACACCTCTATCAGATGCAAGTTCTCGCACAACCAGGCCTGCGGGTCGACGCTTGTGACCGTATTGAGGTGTAATTGAATTCCTCTGTAATTACATTTAATTTCTTTGGTCAAGCAGATCTTGTTTGTCATGCAGAGGTCATTCTGACTTTAACTGTTGTCAGCCAATAAAAGAACAAGTGTAAATGCTGCTAGCTTTTTCAAACTGTAAAATATTTTTTTTTTTTTTTTAAACAACCGTGTGGGTTTTCTGTCATCCCAGTTGGGCTTGCAGGACCTCACAGCAAATTTACGATGGAGCCCAATTCTCAGCTGGCTGTTTCCCATTCGTGCTGATTTAGTGCTTCGAAAAGGAGAACTGAGTGGTAATGGGGGGGGGGTTAAGGGAGAGTATCAGACGCTGGTTTGGATTCAGGATTGTGCCTGTACAGGTGATCACTGCCCTTTTGAAGGTTTCATTGCTTTCTTTGACGTTTCAGTTGATAACTCACAGGTGTTTTGAGCCATCATTCCCCCCCCCCCAGTTCAGCTGAATAGAGAGGGGAGTGCGACAGTATCAGGCTCTGTGACATTTGCAGGCCACGTGGTGCTCAGCTGACCCCCCACCGCCCCCCCCCGCCTACATACACCTCCTCAGACCCTTCACCCCTATGATGGACAACAGAAAATATGAGTCATCTCGTCAGTGGGGCTGCTGACTAGCATGGAGTCATCGTGATTTCTGTGTGTCTGTCTGTGTCTGTCTGTCTGTGTGTGTGAGTCTCTGTGTCTGTGTGTGTGTGAGTCTCTGTGTCTCTGTGTCTCTGTGTCTGTGTGTCTGTGAGTCTGTGTGAGTCTCTGTGTCTGTGAGTCTGTGTGTGTCTGTGAGTCTGTGTGTGTCTGTGAGTCTGTGTGTGTCTGTGAGTCTGTGTGTGTGTGTGTGTGGTCCCCTCCATTTGGTCTTCGCTGATTCTGTATTAGTGTGGCCGTGTCCCCCATGAATCACACTCCGCCGGTAACACTGGCTTTCCCCTCCCGCAGGCACTATGGAAAGAAGCACAACGGCACCCCCTGTTCAGCTTCCTGGGGGACATGGAGTCCCACATGTTCGAGTGCGTGAACCAGTCGGCGGTGCATGAGGAGCTGGAGGACGAGACGCAGCGGCTCTGTGATGTGCGGCCCTTCCTGCCAGTGCTGCGGCTCGTTCCCCGCAACTGCGGCCGCGCCGAGCGCCTCGACTCCAAGATCGGCGTGCTTATCGGCAAAGGTGAAGCCGACCTCCCCCCAAATCCTGTCCAAGGAAACCTGACCGGCCATGACAGCTCATTCATTCTACCCAGACCAGTCTCTTAATGGGCAATACACTGCTCTTTTAAAATAATAATATTAATAATAACTACGGTTGTTTGAGATTTCGGAAGTCGATCATCCCTGAAATATTGCCCCTAAAATCTGGTATTAAATGTGCATTTGATAATTTGGCTTATGGATCGATCACTCAAGGTCTCTGTTGCTTTAAAGGTCTGTTTTGTGTTTTGTATTAAATGCTGCATGAATGCTGCATGTATTTTGCTGGGCCTCCTTGTGGATTATGAGCTCATCTGTTAAAAGCCGTCAGTACATGTGCCTCCCTGGTGCTTCACATGTGTCAGTGTGGGGTCTGCAGTCCTTAGTGGCTCCTTAGTGAGACCTGCAGGCCAGAGGCACCAGATCATGCGTGTCCTTCCGGAGCAGACCCCACACCCTGTGGGCTTTGAAGCGCTCGTAGATGTTGATGGTAATTGAAGGTGACCAATCAGATCAGTCTGGTATCACTCCTTTCATTACGGCCCTGTCGGATTCGGGCGACGCACTCTGGCCAGAGGGTCTGAGCACGGTGTCCATGTTTCCCATCATCTCTCCACTGCTTTGGTATCCGTGGTGACCGTGACGGATGCTGCGGTTCTGTCTTAGGTCTCCATGAGCTCGATGCTCTCCAGGATCAGGAAGTGAAGGACTTCCGCTCCAAGATGTTCCGCATCAGCGAGGAGAAGATGCAGCGCGTGCAGATGATGACCTGGATGGAGTGGCTGGAGAGCTGCTTCTCTCCGCAGGTGGAGGTGGGAGCCATTGACGGCCTGCAGGAGAAGCTGTTCGAAGGGGCCCTCAAGGTCACCATGCACTTCAGCCAGTCCCAGGTGCGTGGGCCTCTGATCCGCGGGGCAGCAGCACCTCGTGGGCCATGTTACGGAGATCCTCCGGCAGGAAGCAGCTTTCCAGTCGGAGGATGAGGTGGCCGACCGCCAGCCGCCATGCTCAGACATGTTCAGGTCTACCCCTGCTTTTCTATTGGCTTTCTGTCAAAAAAGGTGGGATCACATGACAAAACAAACGGCCATTTTAATGGTGGAAAGCCGGTCACCGTCTAACAGATCCTGCTTTTTCCTGCCAGTAAGTCGGCCTGAAAGCCTCGAGTTCCCAGTGTGGTTTTGGGTGTGTGGGCCATGCTGGTGGAGTTGGGTTTCTTCGGTTTGCTCACGACGGTGCTTTGTGGCCGCGTGAGCTGCCGGAAGCACTCGGAGGCGGCCTCGGGGGCTCCCACTCGCTCTCTCTCTCGCACTCATTGTGTCATTCCTCATCTCCCACACCATCCCAGTTTTTCCAGGAAGGTACAGCCGCCCACACAAACACGGTATCTGCACACACGTCGGCGCCGATCAGCCCGTGCACAGACTCGCAGCTTCTGTCGGGGGGCATGTCCCAGCAGGAAGTGGGATACCATGTGGCGTCTCTCTAAGGAGACTGGTCTGTTCACCGGTCCCAGCTCTCCTTATCACCTCCTCCCGCTCGCTCCGGTCTGCCTGGCGGTCCCAGTCCCGTCCTCTCCTTATCACCTCCTCCCGCTCCCTCCGGTCTGCCTGGCGGTCCCAGTCCCGTCCTCTCCTTATCACCTCCTCCCGCTCCCTCCGGTCTGCCTGACGGGCCCACTCCCGTCCTCTCCTTATCACCTCCTCCCGCTCCCTCCGGTCTGCCTGG